TAGAAATGAACAGAAGTTTAATTTGACTAGATTTCATCCTTACTAGGAAGGTGGATAGGTCTATGTGCAAGGAGTTTAGGGTAATTCTTAATTAGAGCTTAAATACGAAATAAAGGTTGCTGGTGCTTGTCATTAATAAATGGGAAAAAAGGCAGTAAACATGCTGGGAGAAAACAAGTGAAATTTAAGGATAGAGTTGTTGGAGGAAGGAAAATGGGATGGAGACAGAGATAGGGGCGTGATGTGTGAGATGACTAGTTGCCAAACAAAGAGGAGGAGGTAGGAGTATCTCCAGGTAGAAAACTACCTAATAATAAAACATGGTGGTGGAACGAGAAGTTCCATATGGACAAAGTAACTATAGAAACTAAACAAAATCCGGAAAAAAAAATGTAGAGGCTGCTTTTCAAATTTCTTTAGCCATCTTGAGGAACATGTACCTCTTCCCAATTTCTGGCGTAATTGAGTGAATCAAGCATTACATAGTCATAGAATTCTCCACATCCCAGGTGTTAAAATTGGGATCATTCAACTTTGGAGGAGGATCTGGGAGGTATGCTAATTCCCCCCTACCTTTAACTGTTAACATGGCTTATTGGGACCATTCAAGATAATTAGTTCCGTTTAGCTTCGTTCAGTAAGATGGAGATTCGAATGTCAGATTCAGATGTTGAAAGTTGTTTTGGGGTTGAAGAAGATGCCTCTATAATCTCAGAAATTTCTTAAGACAATAGGTTTGATGAAGGCCTTAGTAAAAACAACTACAAAGGCTGAATGGTCCTAGCAATAAAGTCCAGGATAAGAGGCATAAGGTTCGGGTTACTAAACATGTTCTAACACGGTAACGCCAAGTTCAACTACTTAGTTGAAAAGCTTATAAATTTATTTACTTAAGCCCCGTTTGGTTCCCATTATTTACTCGTTAAAATGAAAAATATGATCGTTATCTATCACATCAAGCCACCATATTTGACTTTCTATCTCTTGTGTGGGGCTCGTAACGATTATATTTTTCATTCTCATTTTTACATTAATGTGTACCAAACGGGGCCTTAATATGTCTTCAACAATTTTCCTTCTACAACATGTAGGATATTAAAAGATACCTATATATTTGTCCATCCATTATTCTTCCTTGTTGAAGACAATAGGTTATAAGTATGTTATGAATCAGAGCACGCAAGGGTCCTGAGTTCAAGTGTCGCTGCTACCTATTTAGTGAAATTGTGTATGAATTAGGCTTCGATGGAAATAAAATGAACTTCGCCTACATGTGAACATGCTGAAGGTGAGACTTAAATAATATACGTGTGATTCTCTCTAATAGCTTAAGCTTTTAAACCAAGTGGTTTAACGTTCCATATTTTCTGAATTATGCTTTCTCTGTCAAACATTAATTTCCCTGATTACAATATAAGATCTATTTTTATGCAATGTTTTAATTTTTATATTTGTTTCTGGTTTGAAATTTGTTTGCTTCAATAACAGGTATGGCAAGAGGACTATCCAAGGAGTTCTAAACGATGGCTGGAATGCTCTCATGCGCTACTACTTAAACAACTTCCGTGATGGTACAAAGCAGGTATGCTCAACTTTTTCTATATATAGGGTTTTACATAATAGAAGATTCCATAATTTCCATTAAGTTGCATCAAATTCTTCTGTCATCTGCCAGTTTGGTGATAACTCTAACTGGCATGCATCAGGGTTGTTTGTTCCGATGTATCTCTTATTTGCTGTGATCCTATCTGAGTATGTGTGAGAAAACTCATATCTGAGTATTCGATAACTCGTGTCTTCTTGATTTCTGCATCACATTTTGTCAAATATGCATTTTCATAACATTTGGCTTGACATTTAGAATCAGTTACACTCGATCCAAAATGCATACACTTAATCATACTACATCTTCATTCTTCTATTACTTTTGCATCCTATTGAAATGCTGACATTTTTCTCTTCATCCTTTTACCTGAAGGATGCAATTGATCTAATGCAAGGACATTACATTCTTTCTGTCTCCCGAAGTATGACTCCTACGTCACAAGCAGGAGGCATTGAGGCGATAGCTGTGAGTAAAATCTTATTGCGAATATCTTATTGAGTTGTACACTATCCTAATTTGACTGTTATTTAGTATTGAATGGTTCATATAAATAAACATTAATTCCATTACGATTTAAAATGAATTAATAGATGGTCAAATGAATTTCTTTCTACTTTCGTGGAGTGAAGCTTTTGATCTTATTTAGAGCTTACTCTGCCAGGTTCAAGTTTGGAAATGAGAAAGTTACACATACTAGTAAACTCTGAAGTAAGAAGGATTTTTGCATACCAAATCAGCTAGGTGTAATTGGTACTTAGGTATAGTATAGTGATGATAACTTTCTCTGTCTCCCTTTGTGCAAGATATGTTTACATAATTCGTCAGCACACTAGAAAAAAGTCACCTTTATTGACCAAATTGTAAGTATTGCTGCTTAACAAGATTGTCTTACATATTACAGAGATTCAAGAAGAAATTTAATTGAATGAACACGGCTAGATTGAAATTTGACTTGTAGCTGCTATTGATTTTTGAAGGTCATATCATGGACAAGAGTCCGTGTGATTTGACGTCTGCGAAGTTGCTCCAATTATATTAACAAATAAGTCATGGCCACTCTTATAACGTTATAAGATAGGATAGACTGTAATGCAACTGGAGTCTTAAAGCTCTTTGAACTGCGTCACTACTACACTGCTGAACTTATTAGAGCCAGCAGCCATTATAATGTATGGATTATTGAACTACATCAAATGAAAGCTTAGGCTGTTAGTGAAGGGATGAACTAATTTATTCAATTTTTTCAACAATTAGGAACAGAGATTAAATCCAAGGTGACTGACTAATAATTTGATCTTCTGATGCACTTTGATTTGCATTTTAGCATCATTTCATGCTGCAGACCACTAGAATAATGCAAAAAAAATTTACTCTTAGTCTGCCTGTATTTTTAGCTATTTCTTACCGTAGTTAATGTTACCATGGCTGTGGGAAGCTGTCTCTGTATAAGGTGTGTGTCTTTTTATTTGCTTCTTTATTTGCTTGGTCATCCAGGTTTATAGTATCTCAAGTCCGACTCCTGTGCTCTTTCATCCTTTTTTTTCTTTTTTAGTCTTCATTTTTCCTCAAGGAAGAATAGAAGTTGATAAAATTGAAGTTTTTTCTGTTTTATAGGGAATAGATTATCCATATTGTTTTTCACTTGACCGTTGTCTTATACTCTTACATTTTCCTTTTGCAGTCCTTTCCACTGGCTTTGTTACTTATTCTGACTGGGTTCTTCCTTGCAACAATATCTTTAGGGCGAGGTGAGATGGCACTCGTGATAGTAGTTTCTTATAATGTTCATTCGGTACTTACAGTTTGTTGTACCTGCTTGCGCCGTTAATTCCCTTTCTTGGTTTTAATTTAACCAATGTACTGATTGTTTGAAGCTATCTTGGGGGTTCCGGACCAGTTGGCCCTTCCAAAGTTGAGAACTAAGAGATAATCATCCTTGGGAATAATATTCCAAATTATATAAGACAATAAGCATAGTCAATATCATACTTTGAACTGAACTAAGCCAGATATAGTTCAGGAAATTTGGCATCTATCTCAAATGGAAAATAAACAACCCACAGATGCACAAGGGATGCACTTATACTCTCAGCTTGTAGAGTTTGCCAATTTTTAAGTGCCTAATGAAGATTCAATTGCCCAAAAAGTCGCAAATATGTGGGAAGCCTCAATCGACTGTATATAAATGTGATGAAATGGGATGCTTGCCCTTAGTTTCTGGAAATTAGAGCTGTACTTTCTTGCTAAACTGCTCGTGGTTTTTTTCCCCCATGTGCTTCCGCTTCGTACCCTGGTGATAACACACTACATATTCATATTGGAAAGTTCTCTTTTAATTCAAATATTTTAGCCGTCACCTCCATTTGTGGGGTGAGCAGGGTGGATCATATATAATGTATATTAGTAGGCTCACTCTACTGGAAGTCATAGAAAGCAATTAAGTTAAAAATTCTGTCCACGTAACTAACTTGGCGAAATATAATCTTCTCAGCCTTTGTTTTCACCACTTGGCCAAACAACGCACCCAAAAAAAGTGGCCACTATTTGCAGTTCTCTCTTTGTTCATGCACCATTATTTTGGAGTGACATCATTGTTTATGATACAAGAATTTCGTAAAGCTTTGTGAAAGCATAAATGAAATTTTCTGATGCATACATCAATGCAATTTCTCAGTGTTTGATTGTTCAAAAATTTGATTCCTTTGAATTATATATTGTGGTTTTACTTTGCGTCAGGATATCATTCATGCCAAAGAAATTATATATAGCCTTAATGATGCGACAAAAAAATTTCTGACACTAGAACTGGGGGAATGGGTAAATTGTAAAAGCTTCTCCAACATTGTTACAATGACTATGATCAAGGATTTGAAGCTTGCTTCCCAAACCCTAGCCGTGTTACCAGTCCCTGGGGCCATTTTAAATTTGCATCAACATTATTTAAATTCTGAGACATTCATAAGCTTCGTTTTTTACCCGTTTATACTGATTCGTGCCACTTGTTTTTCATGTATTCATGTACAGTTCGGAATGACCTCTGGAATTTATTATTTTCAATCATGTGGGCAAGCATGAGCTTGGCTATAGCGGCATTTGTAAAGGCCAATGGTCGGGTTTTCTGTAATCGTCCTCGCCTGCACCAACCTCGCCGTTGATCTGAATTCAAGGTTTTAGTCTGTTTCTACTTCACTATGCTGCTTAACAACCCCATTTGTTGATTACATTATTCCAATCTTTATATTTTTCCCATGTGAATTGTTATGTCCCAATTTTTTGTTTATTGTAGTATATATATCACACGCTGGACTGATGTAGGTACATTTCATTGTCTTACTGAACTTCACGTCAAGAAATTCATGTTTGGCAATTATTGTAATCTAAAAGTAACCATCAATTATTGTAATTTCGATTCTCCTTGCTGAATTATTCACTTGCAACGAATCTCAAGCATCTAATAATCTTAAAAATAATATTGTGTTTGCTATTAGACACCTCAAGTCATCTTCTACATTAAAATAATACCTAGTTCCATACCTCTGTGAACTTGGAATGTTTATCTGAAATTTGCATATGGAGGCCAAAAAAGGTGAAACTCAATTCTGTAGGTGACTGTCAGCCCTGTGAGATTCACCGGAGACGATGTCACATAACCTTGAACAAACAGAAAATCTTCTGTGCCACCCACAACGGGATGATCAGAAGGCTTTATGTTGTGTGTGCCTCCAACTACTGAGATGGATCCTTTGTGGCGTTTCACATTCAAAGTTATCTTAGCAATGGAAATGCTCTGAAGCCCATCCAGTCCAGAAGTGACGGAGGTTCCTTCTGCTGTTCCAACAACCTTAGAATTCAAATTTGGTGTAAGAGTCAAGGGATCTTGGAATGCAAACAGGGTGCCGAAAGGCGTGGTGGTTTGGCTTATTCCTGGCCCGGCCACACCATTCACTATGATAAAGCCAGTTTTGTTTATGGTTTCGTGTTGAAATAGTGAAAAGTGAAGGGATTTGAGTCCATTGGTATGGTGATGTGAAGTGGAAATAGCCTTGTAAGAGAGAACCAGAAGAATAAAACTCAAGTAGAGCTGTGAGAGAGCCATGGTTGATTAAGAAAAAGCTTGGATGAGAACTTTGAGAGAATAAATTTTGATTTATATAGAGGAAATGATGTGAACGATGCGTGCAGGTGACCAGTGCCGGAAGATTGGGGTTAACGAGTTAAACATATTTTCGTGAATGGCGGGAGGACTTTTAGGTGAAACTTACACATCATAAAAAGATTAGTCCTGGAAGAGATGGAAAAAGTTAAAAACGAAAGCAATTATGTGGACTTCCTTGTCCTCTACTACTTTTCATCACTCTCTTTCATTCAAATGTACCCACCTAGTCATTTGTTTGTTTCTTGGAAGACTTTGACAGAGCTCTATATTATATTGGACTATGACTCTGTCAAAGATTTAGTAGGATTTTAAATAGATGGTGCGCGTTAGAGTGGAGAGATGAGGATAATGATACTTTAGCCTGTCAAAGGTAAGTGTTGTCTTTCAATAAGATTGGCCAATAAAAAATAAAAATTACAATTCAGACCTGATCTTGATTCAATACGTAGAATGCGACCTGATTCAATTAATTGAATGAGACCGAAGGTATGTTTTGTGAATGAAATTTCATTAAGAATGTCTCGAGAATATTTCTATTTACTAAGAAAGTTTGGTCAACAATCTTGAAAAAATATGTATCAGCTTTTAATCTTCTAGTATTCGTGCTTGCTGAATAATTTATCAACATCAACCCAAAATATAAGAATTCCATCGTCAAGTCTTTAAATCTCAAAGAAAGCAATAAAAAATATTTTCTCAATTAATTACATATACCATTGCCTCAACGATTCTATCCAGCAAAATTGACCACATTTCCTTCCATTACCTGATACGATAACTAGTTAGGATGGTACAAAAATATATTCTAAAACCTTATCAAGTTTCAACTTTCCAGTATCAATAAATGGAATGTACAATTGTATTAACGGCGGATAATCTTCGATTGAGGGGATTTTATATTACAGATTGGTGTCATATGAGTAGAAAGGATGGGAAAACGATTGACCATTTGTTCCTGCATTGTGATGACGCTCGTTTGCTGTGAAATAATATTCCGCCTTCTCAACATATGAATTGGGTGATGCCACGGCGTATGGAAGATGTGTTGAAGGCATGGAGGAGAAAGTTTCGTGACAATGACAGTAAACTTGTTTGTGACCTTATTTCAGGCTGCATTGTTTGGTGCGTGTGGAGAAAAAGAAACGTGCGCTATTTTGATGATCAGATAAAGGCTTTAGAACAGTTTAGAGAATTATTTTATTTGACAATGTATAATTGATTTAATACTGCAGCTTCTAGTCACATAGATGGACTGCCTAATTTCATGACTTTAATTTCTTGTTTAAGTGTAAAATACACTTTCTGTGTATTACATTTTGATTAATAAAATATTTGATTACTTATTAAAAAAAATAAAAAAATGGAATGTACAATTATTCTTTGCTTTCTAATTTGCATTAATATACTTTCGATTAAACTTCATTCAATTTGAACAGTCATGTTAAACATCCTTGGAAGTATAAATCTAAAAAGACGAGAGTGAATTATTCTGAAAGAAAAAGGGTTTAAAACACTTTTTAGTCATCGAACGTTTCATATTATTTCACAATGGTCTCCAATTCTTTTCTTACCTACAAAAATCGTCACCAAACTTATAGTTTAAGTAAATTGCACTAACCGTTTTTAAATTTTGACCCATGTTGCATTTTTATTCTCAACATTTTTTCTAGGTATTCTTGACCTTAACTTTTCATTAATTAGCGCAACCTCTTTTAAAGTAGAGATCTACTGTTCAAATTTGTTGTACATCCAATTAATTTTTGATATGTCATCAATAATTAACATGTCATCTCAAATTTATCCTTATTAATTTCACCACTAACCAACTAAATTGATAACGCGTCAAGAACTAATTGGATGGACTAAATATCTCAACTCACCTGTTCATAGGTTTTCATCTATAATTTTTTATGAAGTGGCATAAAAAACAAGTTACCCTTTAGTTTAAATTGATAAAAACTAAACAGGAAAAAAAAAAAAAAAAAAGGAAAATTCTACCAAAACTCCACTTGCCACTACGATACCCCAGCCCCTACTCCATGCCATCCCATTGTCCCCAAGCAAGCCGGCAACTAAAAGCCTTTTTAGAAAGCAATACAAAATATTGTTGCGAGTGTTTTAAGAGGCTCGTCTATATGTGGGGGGCAAAGAAAACGCAAAAATTCAACATAGCTCAAATCCAATTCAACAATATAATTTTTAGCGCCCCTTGACTGGGCCCTTGCGAAAATTATAGGGTCGTCGACCATGTCTGATTATAAAGAGCTTCGAGTTGATCTAGGAAGGACACAGCCAAGTGGCCAACGTTATGGTTTACAAAGCAGTTCCAAGTATCAGGAGAATCCTCTTCCAAAGATAACTTCATGGTTTACAAAGCCTAGAATACAAATGCAAACAACCAACAAAAGATAAGAAAATTCCATTGCCTGAAACATCACAGGTGATGAAAACTGATATTGATTCAATTCCGCATGGTGACAACACAGCATATTTCAGTTTTAGAACTGTACCCAGAGCCAATCCATGCAAGCAAGCAAGTTCATATTTCACCTTAATGCTACTACATTCATAACACTGCTGCTCTACCATGGGGCAACACAGAAAATATTCGACCAGCAAATTGAAACCACCTGGTATTTCTCTATGTTTCCAACTCCGAACCAGCATCATCCGCAAACTCATCAGATGGATTTGTCCTAGGGAAGAATTCTTCACCAGGATACATTTTTTGGAATAGCTGCCAAGATATAAAGAAAAATGGATATCAGGCCAGTCAGCATTATTTCACTATAACAGAAAGGAGTGTGCAGTTCAGTAATCTATGTTCTCTTTGCTAATGAGCACAACACATGGGAATTCAAGCAGTAATCTCGAAGCATGATTAGAAACATGGCAGAATCTTCTTGTTAGACGATGATACTCAGGTTTTAAGCTACCTTTGCTGTTGTATCTAGAAGACAATTGTAGTGAAGATGTTCATCCGGCATTGTCATATAGTTGATGGATTCAAATGCACCCTGAAATTGACAGTGCCAAATGAAACAATATAAAGACCAAAGAAGCACCTAATGAACAGCAAAAGGAAAAATAATAATAATAATAATAACAACAACAACAACATATAGTCAATATCCATAAAAACAAAGGAGCTCATTAATCAAATTTAAATTACTGAGTAATTGAACAAAAAATAATGTGTAACCAAAAGATATTTAAGAACCAATCTAGTTTATGCTTCGGATTTCTACTCATTTTCGTATATGATGGAAGATATAGAATAAAAGGCAGGACTTGCATATGAGCTTTACTGATTCAGAAAGAACGAAAATAGGGCTCCTAGAAAGGTGTTATGGTTATTGCTAGAGAATAAAAAATACAATTACATAATTAAATTAATATTATTTAAATCTTGTCTTCAAAATGGTATATATTTATAATTAAATAATTTATTATTTTTGTCATCTAGTTCAACTCAATTCAACCTTCTGACCCTGACGGCTTGACTCTTTATCTTTTCCGAATCAATACTCTCGCCGAATTTTAGAACATAGGAAAAAAGATGACACTATAGTTAAAACTAAGGATTATGACGTCCCAAAGATCAACCGATATGATCTTTACATTTGATTACTAATAAAGAATAAGGACTTCAACATGAGGCAGTGCATCATATTATAGCAGCTTTGATAAAATAGAGAAAAACTAAAAGAATAATATGCGATGGGAACATGCCTATTTTTAGAAGGTAAGTTCCGTAGAATGATTATTAGATCAATGACATTTTATCATATAGACTACTGGGCAACTGAAAGAGAAAATGTCATTTTGAATAAACATATCATAATAAGAACTTCAAAATGGATGTGTGGCCACGGTATAATGGATAAAATGAGAAATGAAGATACAAGTCAAGAAGTAATTTAAGAGGACTGTCACTTAATCGCTAGATTGTGTTGTACATGAAATAAAGACTCAAATTTACGAAAATGATAGTAAAATGCGTTAGAAGTGGGACAATTACGCCAGAATTAACATGGCCGTGAGTGGTTGTCAAAGTTAGATATCTTTGCAGGTGGTTGTAGAGATAGGTAGTGGAAAAGGCTTTATGAAACTGACATCAAAGCTATTGATTACTGAGAATAAGGTGTAGCTAGTAAATATTGTTGCCAAAGTCCCAAGCCCTTTGTTATTTACTTAAGCAGATTGTGGAGGGAGGGGAGAATAACTATTTCAACTTAACGTGCCCTACATATTTCTGACTACTTTTTCATCTTCTTCCAGCAGAGTATTTTTCAATTTTGATGCAACAAGTCATTAATTTAATTTAATTTCAAAAGAAAAAGACAGCAGCATTTTATGTATCAATGACCTAACAAAAACATGGTGGTGCCAGGTTGGTGGGCATAGGTTCTACAAACAGTTGATTCCCAGTTGAATCTCACTAATTATATATGTGCAAAGGTTCCCCCTCGAAAGGTGTGGATTAGTTTACTGGGACACTGTGCTACCAAATATAAATTGTTACGGAATAACAACATTCTTTTTGTTCAGGAGATCTCATTAAACTTGATCTTACATCAAATGAATTTTAATTACTGTTATTATGTAGACAAAAAGGGAGCATCCAAATGCATAATTTATAAGCACACGATACAAGCAATATCACTGCTTCGCTGTAAAGGTACAAAAAGTACCCCCACAAAAGTGGCTTTCATAATGAAGTCAAAAGAGAAAATTTCTCAACTGAATGCATTTTGCAAGTGGTGAATGCCTTATATGCAATGATTATGTTTCTTCCACGACTATACAATCATATAAAAGCCAGTAAAGCCAGTTCTACTTTTAAAAGTTTTCCAACCCCTAAAGCTATCTCAACTGAGGAGAAAAAACTGCTGACAAACATACACAATACTTGAATTTCAAATTCAAGGAAAACCAGAACACTAATCTCCTGAAGGAAACAAAATAGCAAGGACAAGAAACAAACCTTAGTCAACTCTTGCAGATACAAAGCAGTCCAAAGCAGGCTGGGTTTTACTTCAGTAATTTCACTTTGATCATCCTTGTCAGATTTACCAGAAATAGACACGGAAAACAGAGCATTTATGGCTGAATGCAGTAAATTCTTCCCTTCAACAGCATTATCACACAGTGCTGAAAGATAAGTCACAAACCTGAACAGAGTGGAGAACACAACATTTACTGAGATTCCAACTAGCACCAACTTAAAATAGGGAGATTTTTACCTCCCAAGAATTTAAAAATATATGAATTACATATCCCATCCAGCAAAGTCGTACAGAGGCCAAGGTCAACCAAGGCGATAAAACCTTCTCTCCATTCTTACCCAGTAAATTCAACCCCAGAAATCCACATACATGAGACAGACTAATTTCATGACCAGAAGATTTTGCATTGTTATCCCTTTAGGTTAAGTATTTAGTTGAAGAATGAGCATTTAATAGTTCAAACTTCAAAAACATTAAAGGCAAATGAAACATGCAACTCACATGCCAGATGGGCAGACAGCCACATTGCTACTCAACTGAAAAACACGAACAGACATCTTCTGATCTGAGCACAAAGCTAGAGAAAGCAAACGACAAAAATAAATCACTGTCATGTGAATGTCAGAAAATACAAATGAAATATCGAGCTTACATCCAGGAGGAAATAACACCAGACAATTAGCTACATCTGGTTTTAAGGAATTCCTCGTAATGCATATTCCCCGCACAACCTTCTGTTCGACATCTTGAAGGGTCAAATCATGGGAACTCAGCTCATGTGAAGAAAGAGGAGATAATGATGATGTAATCTTAAAAGAGGGGGCAAGAATCAACTGAGCGCTGAATAACTCTTGACCAGAAACTAACTTGACGCCTTTATAAGTCCCACTATCCTGCAAGAGTTCCAAACTGTCATAAGAAAAATGATCCTAAGATACTACAAAGGGCTCTCATAATGTACTTTTAGTATTTTACATATGCCAAATGTGTCATAAGTGCAGGAACAAGCTGCCTATGATCCACGTGCCATAATGCCCGCACGAATACGATCATAAACATGCATGATGATCAAGGACATCAAGTTCATGCACTCACACAGCCCAAGGAGCACCTCACACTTATCCTCTAAAGAGTACAACAAAAACATACAAATATCGATTCGAACCTTATCCATGAGTAGGGCAATTACAAGCATTCGCAAAACCTGTATAAGAAGTGTATGATGAAAATAACCATTAAAGATCTTGTAAGGCATCTATATCAGTCATCGATGAAAAATAGAACGATAGCCAGGAATCACAAAAACTGGAGAAGATAAACGACATTTGCCGTTTTATTTTGGGATAATATCCAGTCTCTTTCAATCAGAAAATGAGAACCATATACTGTAGTTTACAAGAATACTGTAAATAAAAAAATGACTTGTAAATAATGCATCCAATCTGAATGACATATCTAATATCCAATCTTTTCAAAGGCATCTTAGGGATGTGCCTCAGAGTGAGGCAACAGAAACTGCCTCTAAGCAATCAGGTTGACAATTGTATTGGAAGGCATTCACCTTTAAATACGAAGTATACACCAAACAAAGGAGACAATCCTTTTAACACTTTATTGATAGAAAGATATCATAATTTAAAATGTCAACTTTTCTTCATTTTGAAACTAATAAATACTTACCCAGGGGCCGCAATGATTACTTTCATATAATATGTTTGTTTAGTTAAGAGAAATGAAACGGCAATCCCTTGGCAACTGAAATTTTCTGCTCTCTTTTTATCTTCCACGTCAAACTCTCTTTTCAAAATTCACTCTTTTCCCTATTCTTTTCTCTTGACCAATGCTTCTTCCTAGAGTGAGTAAATCAGCCAGATTTTTTTGTCTTTTATTTGAACAACAAGCTTTCATTCTTTTCCCATATGATAAAGTTTTGGTTTATTCTCTCCTTGAGAACTAGTTTCCCTTTTCTCGTTCTTTGAAAGATAAAATTATTTACAGTATATAAATACAATAGTTAGTTTTCATTTTTCTTTATTTTGAGCTCTGTTTTTCTTTTCATGGTTAATCTGTCAAGTGTTAACTAGAAATGTGAAGAGATGAGATAAAACTGAAAATGAAGGCTTGAAGAAAGATTTGACATGTAAAATGCAGGTGTCCCATTTCAGATTGGTAAGACTTTATTGTGTATTGTTTATTCACAATAGGTTGTTGTAGCATAATTTTCAAGTAGTTTTTTCTTTCTATTATTACGCTCGTTTCCTACTTTCTGAAATTATGATTTTCTTTACCAAAAAAAAATAAAAAAAAAAATAAAAATTGTATTTGTTTCAAGTTCAATTACAAAATCCATAACCAATCCTAGACTAATATCAAATTCAACTTTGTGAGTAATTATAAAAAATTAAATTCCTAAAAGGCTTTTTTCCAACATTTGAAACTTAGCCTTACCTCGCATCGTGGCCCTCACCAAAGCAAAATGACTTTTAGATCAATATTAGTGTCACGAGAGGTGTGAAATACAAAAACAAAAGGGAAACGGGATGAGCTCATTAATCAAACAGTAAATGCAAATCAACAATTCGAGAACACAGTCTTGGTTTTATATGGCAGTGCCAGCAGATCTCTTCAAAGCTCTTGCTATGTTTCTAAAGGTCTTAAAAACAGATCATGGCCTAATGAGTTGGCGGCACATCAGTAGTAAAATATAAAGGGGCTCATAGCAGGCAGTATCATGGACTTTTGAGCTGTGATTGCATCCAATTTTCCCAAGACAACAATGGACGGAATCGAAGGATTTATTTTGCCGCCATTCCCCATTTTAAATTGGTATTGTATTGGGACTATTCATTTTAGAATTTAAATAGCTTCTAAAACTAAAAGGAAAATACTTCAGAGACACAACTTCAAAACAAAACTAAAAACCTAAACACGTGAAAGAGATTACGAAATATCGAGTGTTGCACAGCACAGTCAAGAGCATGTAATAAAACTACAGTTACACATTCCAAAAATATAATAAACAACATAATCACTGAGATAGATATATAGACAAATAAAGCGAGAGAGAGAGAGAGATAGAGAGAGATTTCTCATCATAAATTAATTTTTGTAGTGCATGCAGGCAGAATCCAAGTACAGTGTATTGATTTATAACCATCTTCCAAGTAAATAGAATATAATAACTATCCTTACATGAATACACCCTTTCACAGCTGCACGACGGCAAAAGGCTTGTGGAAGCTCCCCTTGGCCATATAGGGGATAAATCATAGCACCATTTGCATTAGGAAACCTAAAAATGTTAAGAAAATAATTGAGGCCTACAGGAATTGGTTTGTCAAAAGTCGACGAAAAAGAACTAAAAATTAGAAAGAAAAAGAAATGTCTGAATTCACTATGCACTGAATGTAAAGTGTCCAGAGAATTTTTATTTTTATTTATTATTATTATTATTATTTTTTGCAATATCCATATTAAACACTCATTGATAGAAAGCATCCACATTTTTCAGAAAAGAGTTATGGAATCATGTTAAAAGAATGATGATTTTACATAAAGCAATAGCTATTCTTTACCTAATGAATACTGAAAGGCAAAATGAAATTCCTGAAGTTTGAGACATACATCTTTAATCTATTTCTTCCTCTGTTATATGAAGCTCAAGTAAAAAAGGTATAAAGGACAAATTGACTAGATAAATCTGTTTTATTATCTCTAGTCTATAGCTCAGTAAGTATGCACAAAAGCCTCCAAACTCTTGACCCAATTGTGTAAACATTTAGACTTTCTGAATGTGACACTGTATTGTTCAAATTAATAATTGTATTCAATCTAGCCTCAGTCAGCAGTTGTCGAAATTCTAAAATTAAATCATTCCAAAATTAATGGTTTCCCAGAAAATACGTGCTTGATTAACATAAAGTTAGAAGGTTCATCTATTCTCCTCACTTCAAATGTCTGAAATTCCATGTCCTTTTTCATGTGTTCTGTTGATTCCGAAGCACACACCAATCTCTGCCCACATCTCTTCTTCCATTTCACTTCCACTTTTTTTGTGAGGCAATGCATAAGCCTCAAGGCATTTCAAGGCGTAAGCCTCAAGATAAACCAATAAAGAATTAAAAGAATATAAATATAAAAGTATGCTCATATAAACCATAAATTATAGTGAAAATTCATAACCCAAAAATTCAACAAAATTAAGAGTCTAATATAAGGAGAGTTTTGCTTTGTCCCTCCTCGAAAGAGGGAGGAGCGGAATGGCTTAGCCCAAAAGCTGAGGACAGCAATAAAAAGCTCAATAATAATAATAATGATGATGATGATAAATAAATAAAATAAAATAAAAAATTCTATACAAAGGAGCTCACAACTCATTCACCCAGAGGCTTAGCCTTGAGCCTCATTAAATCGAGGCCTAAGAATCAACAAATGGCACTTAAGAAGTTATTTTCGAGCCATTTGTGAAAGCCTAACATAAGGCAGGCCTCAAGGCATAAGCCTCAAACAGCTTCTGTAAAGAATGACCTTTGTCATTCCTCACAAAGTTTTGAACATTTTGCACCATTTACCCTTTGAATTTTAGTTCAAAAACTTTTGCAGTTAATATTGAAAAACAGTCACTATAAGGGTTTCCAGTACATTAGTGACTTATAGATCACATTATCTAACCAAAATAAAATCAAAACTGAAGTTTCAATTAATATACGTTGAAGGGTGATCTACTTCGTGTACATAACTGTACTTTAACTGGAAAGAAGATGCGGAAAGACATAAGGCCATATTAATATCAAAATAGAGATAAAATAAGCGCTCGCCTTAGATGCATATACACGAAAAACAGATAAATACGAGTGTTAACTAAGTTCTCACCTTCTGAATTTTGAGGAAGTTTTAACTGAATTTCACATATTAGACTCCATTTGGCGAAATTTATAAATAACTTATAAATGGTCAAACTTCATATTCACCACACATTCCAATGGATCCACAAATAATATTCACTTATCCACCATTCATTTCTATCTGTTTATAAATTAATCTATTGACACGGAGGCAGAATTAACTTCCACTTAAAAATGTTAAATTCAAATATCTATTAATCTGAATAACCTTAAAAATCAAAGGTCAATTCTTTTGTTGCACATATTCCTTCGTATACCATGATTTATTAACTCTATACAAAATATACTATTTTCAAGCTTGCATAAAATTTATTCTACCAATTAATGAGGTTCCTTTATTTCTTTCAACCTATTAATAAATTTCTCCTTCCATAAAAACAAAAAGTTAATATATTATGAATGTCATAACATCTACAGTTCAAGCAACATCAATTATTCTTCTACAATTGCAAGAAATATATTCAAATATGGATCAGAAAGGAATTGACCTGCCAACTGACGAGTGGTAAAGTGTTAAATAATTTATCCCATCTTTTGTTTTGATAATATCCTTACAGACCTCCATATTGTCTTGATCATAATTAGCCATCACTATTGCGTACAAAATAATCCTGCATGGGAGAAGTCATATAATTCAATCGCATGCAAATTTAACCCAGAGAAACTATCCAACATGCACATGAACAGCTTAAATATCGCCATACTGAGTATTGTGAGACATTACATTAAACTAATAAATAATAAGAACCTCATTACACAACTTCATATAAAAGCTAAATGAGAGACAAGACAGAACAAAAAGGCTTTCATAGGGAAAAATATCTTAGAGCCTCATCGTTTAAACCCAACTAATATTTGCTCCCAAAATAATCAACAGGTACCAATATACTTAGCGGGATTTAAATCATTATCTGCACTGCGAGTTCCCCAAATCACTCCAATCAAACACTAATGGTCCAAGTTAAAATATTTAAAACAAGCTTACAAAATGTAAATGACTAATTGGACTTCAGGAAAAGAAACTAGAAGCAAACGCTGCATAATTAATTAATCCAGTGCATATCATTTGGGTTAACTAATGATCCACATTCGTCCGTATAGCTAAAGGTTGTCGAAAGAACTATCATGTCAATTGTCAAATTAAGGCTGAGAACTGTCAAATCAATCACAACAGAATAATAATGCAAGGCATCTATAAATTCTGAAAATCCAGACTAGAAGTATGTCAGAACTTGAATGATCAGTGCAATTCAGTTAAAATATTTTAGGACTAAAAAGAGATAGGAAACCAAGAACTCTCACTAACAGAGAGAGAAAAGGCCAAGAATCGATCTGTACGATTTTAGCTTATGTGATAGTCCCAATTTCGTCAAAAACTCCACAAACGGACTCTCTAAATCCTCCTCAGAGATCAGATCACTCCCTTCACCCTCGCTCTCGCTCAGGAAATGCCCCTGTACTAGCTTGAAAAACCTCATCAACTGATTCTTCTCGGTGAATGACAAACTCCGATCCTTAAATATGGCACTCCGTGAGTCAGGCACCGTCCCCAACTTTCCCTCCGCATCACTCATGAAGCTAGCATCCACGCTCTTGAATTCCATATACTGATTTATGCCCGTTTTGAGGATCAAATCAATCATAGGGTCGGAGCATAACAGGACCCGAGGTCCCGTCAAATCGAGGCAGAATTTTCTGGAATTATCGAGGGGCTCGGAGGAGTAGGAGTTGATTTCCAGTGACGAGTAAAGGGGGCGAGTAATAAGAGGGACACAAACGTGATTTCCGGAGCCGTGTTCAGTCTGAGGAACTTGAGGATTGGAAGACGGTTCAGATTGAAGCTGCTGCGATTTGATGAAGGATATGAAATCTTGGAGGGGAAGGGAGGCATAGTGAGAGCCGTACAACGGGTAGGGATCCAGTTGGAGGACGGTTTTGTTGACGGCGGAGGAAGCGGCGGCGAGAATAGATTCCGGCAGGCCTGTTCCTACGACTATAAGGTCAAAATTCGAGGGCTCAATATGTGGGTATGGTATCGTTTCTTCCATCCCGGGAGAGAGAGAGTGCCTGCCGCTGTGCGATACTTGACCTGATCTTTATTTTTTGACCACTTTTTTCTATTAAAATGAAAAAAAACTTTCCTTTTTCTATTTTCCATTTGTACCCCCAGCATTAAAGGTGTGTTTGGGAGCGATTTTTTTTTTTAAAAAATTAATTTTTTAATTGTTATTTCACTTATCTGAATACCACTTTTTCCCTACTATTAAAAAATCAATTCTGAGACTGCTTTCAAATCCCAATATGAAGAAGAAAACGCTCCAAAAAAGAACAAAGAAGCAGGAGCAGCAGCAACGAAGAAGACTTCAACCTTCAAGCTTGAAACATTCAATAATTGAACGGAGAATTGCTAGACCTATCTAATTTCGACGGCAACCAGTGTTCACTACATGAGAAACGATGAAGATTAAGCAAAAATTCACATTTATTAAGGTAAATTAAAGTCATTTTTTATATAAACTATTAGGTCTGCATAGTATTAATTTTATTCCTTGAATCATTTGCTCGTTGAGCCTTTTTGAAGTGACAAAAAAAAAATTTCAAGAGAAACTATGCTAACAGATGGCCTTAGGTTTTTTCAGTTGAGGAAGCTAAAATTAAAGAATAGGCGTATATAATATGATTTAGAAATTTTGGTGAAGAAAAGTCAAGTGATGAAATTTAAACCCAGAAATAAGAGAAGAAATATTAAAGTAGGTGGACTCTGCTTTATTTTGGTTTAGGGTTTTTCACACAACTTATCAGGGAAAACAAAGTCCCATTTAATAAAGTCTTGGTTTAATATGTTGTAATAAATAATAATGGAGATAGTTCTGTTTATTTCACAAAAAGATGAAATGATGATTCCTTCTCTTTACATCACTTGAGTTTTAAGAATAAAATATGCTTGAAACAGTAACAATTAGTGTCAATTGGATCTGAGAATGCAGTTTACAATATAAATTCAGAGACTAAGTTTGGAATGATTTTCTGTTGGAGCGTAGTTTATTTAGTTTAACGTTCAGCCATGCTGGACGAACGTCTTAATAAATTCAGTTCTTTTTATCTAAGTGCGTTTGACATTGCTGTATTATTAGATATGCTCTTACCCATGCCATGTTGTATGGTATATTACATGCGTGCTACAATGCAATTGTTTCTATGCAGTGTTTGTGTGAAACCCGCAAGCGTACAGAATCGTTGTACAAGTAATAAAATTTGTGAATTAAGTGTATCGTTCTCACGAGGAATAAGGTCTAATATTTAGTTAAGTAGCTTTTACTAAATTCGAAGTAATATAAAATCAAAAAAGTTGTGATTTGTATATTTTCTACGCTAATCTTAAACTAAGAAAGCAAAATAAAATATTTATTTAATATGTGAATATTTGTATTGGAATCGTGAATTCCCCTATTGTCATTTAATTCAACTCTTAATTTATAATATAATAAATTCATGCATTCAAGACAATCGATAATCCACTTTTATTCAATATTCTTTCCCAAGATATATTAAACATATGTTTAACACGACCCGATCCTATTCCTAATCCAAATTCATATGAAAAACATGCATTGATTCACAGGATTTATCACATATGATTGCACATGCCATAGATATTATTCCTAACACGTATTGTTCATATGTTGATTTTACCGCGTTCTAAACTGATAGTATTCTTACACTACAAAAAGCAACTTACTATCTAATTGGTGATCAAGCAATTAAATAATTCAATGGGAATGCAAAACCAATCAAGAAAAAATCATGAAATACTAAATTAATTGTCTTGAATTAAAATAAACAAACGACAGGGTTCATCATTCATCCAATACAATGAAAAACTAGCCTAGCATATTAATATATAAATTACAAGAAGAATAATAGAAAAATATCACCCGGATCATGAAAGCATACAAAAGATGTTGATCTTCACGTCCAAAGTTGAATTCTTCAAAATTTGATGTAATTGAACTTCAATTCCTTGCTATGGATTGATCTTCTCTCTCAAAGTATAGCAATTGGCCCCTTGTTCTTGATGGATTTGATGAAACTATTGTGTATGAAAAGGCAAGAGAGAGACCCTTTCATTGCTACCCATATCTTGTATTTATATGATGAAATTATGTAAAAATTCACGTCCAAATTGTCTTCCAAAAGAGTTTGAAAATAAGGAAAGTTTCCTTCGCGCGCACGTAATTTTGTCTCTGCACAGCTTTCAATATTTTGATCATAACTTTCTCTTTTAGTGTTTGATTTAGGTAATCCAAAGTGCATTGGAAAGTTAGTTAAAAGAGCTACAATTCTTTAAGAAATACAATTTTTCCATTTCAAACGTTCTCCATCCGAAAAATGGGTCTCAAGTTGACCAAAAATCTTGAAGATATCTTATATGATTTGAAGTTGATTTACGGTAATATTCTAACCATATCTCTTTCTTTTTTTTACTCCAATTTGCATTCAATTGACTCCTATCAAATTTCAAAATATCTTTTGTGGTCCAAATCAACCATTAAATATTTACACTTTGGTCCCCATACTTTGGATTTGCTTTATTTAGTCATTTTCTGTTCTTTTTTCCAATTCTTCTTTGAAAAATGAATTTTTTCTAATAAAAGTAATAAATAACAAATCATGTACTAATCCGTTCAAAGAATAACAAAATATCATCATTTAGGATCTCAAATAAGTGTAGAAACTACACTTATCATGTAGTGAATAGAAAATTCTTTGCATAAATATTTTTCTGGACAACGTGAAGAAAAATCTTGTAAGCTTCTTTTCTTGCCCATTTGTTATTGTATTGATGAGGTGCTATGGGCTTTGAAAGTAAGTGGTGTGACATGGCCACTGGGCTTGTTGGCTTCATAGATGACTCACTCCCAACATCGTTGTGCACAATGGGGGCAAGGATGTTATGAATATGATACATGAGTCTGTGATAGAGAGTGCCTTGAGAAAGTTACAATGCTGCCTTCGCAACTTTGTTCTCTAAAATGGAATGAGATGTGGATATCTGAAATTTCTGTCCCATTAGCTTGGTGAATTGTGTTATACAATTTATAGCCAAATGTTTTATCAACGAGACTGAAAATGGTGTTGGAGTGCCAAATTTCTTTTGTAGAAGGAAGACAAATTAATGTTGCTGCTCTTGGCAATGAAATGATCCATTTTAGATTCAGAAATGCAGAAAAGTAGCAAGGATTTTGCTCCTCTACCAGACTTGTAAATGATCTGGTAGAGGAGCCTCTCTCACAGCAATGGTTCACCCATTGGACCCATTATTAAAAAAATGTCAAAAAACCACCCACCCCCACCCCCACCCCCACCCCCAAATGTGAGTGGAGCTGCTCTACCAGATCATTTATAGATCTGGTAGAGCAGTACGGTTCGAGTAACAAGGATTGAGGATTAAACCAATTGTCTCTCCCACCCCATCTTGATATAGCAACTTTTTCTAATGATATAAAGTAATATTTTCTCCAAAGCTATAATGACAGAGACCTTCTTGAACTGAACTTAAACCGTTCATGCAACCGCTTGTACTACAGATGCATATTCTGTAATTGGTTCCATTGCATGACGTTAAAGAGGTCATGTTGAATCTTTAATTTTCTTTTTGTAGTTAACATATTAGCATTAGGTGAAAATGGATTCATATTTATAAGTCTAAAATCAAATGGCAGTAAAGCCTCAAGAAACTTGTTGTGTTACATAGGATAAACCTGCCGTGGCATGTCGCAAAAAATACTGTCCCGAATAGTACTGGAACAGTGGAACTTAAATTTTCAAAGCAGGTAACTTAAATTTGCATATTCTTTTCTGATTGTACTGGAACTTTTTAAGTTTTAGAGATCTTGTCAAATTAAATACCTGCTGCATGTTGTAGTGCTGCTAGCCTGTTCAGGAAGCTTTTTGAGAAAACTTGTATTTCACTGTTTGTGGACAGATATTCACAACATCTAGCATATTGTGTATGCTTATACAAGATTGCTTGGTGTATGGAAGCAATCTCAATATATGTAGTATTTAAAAATTATTGGAAGATACCTTTAAATGTTTTTATTTTTCTCGTTCCATTCTACCTTCGTAGTTTGTCCTTTGACCAGCCTTTTCTATTTAAAAGGGGGAAAAAAGGTTTCTATTGAATTAATTATAGTTTCGTGCTATTTTTAGGATGGAGTACATATATAACATTAGTGATCGTTGTGATGTGAAGGTCTCTCTGAATATGCGTGATGATGATGTATTTATATTTTTCACAAGATTAATTTATCATCTCTCTTATGATGAATTGATGCTAACTGTATGTTCTCTTATTCCATTAGGTGCAAACTTCTGGGACTGCTCATGTACATCAGTATTCTATTCCTATGAGTCGAAGACCTCTACGTAGTCATTGAGCTTCTTGTGACCACGAAGATATGTTGAGACAATTGTTGCACCACGTGGAGAGGTTCTCCGATAAATATGAATAAATAAATAGGAAGGTCGATACTATAATGAATTAGATGAGACTGAGCCAACATCTCGATAGAGACCATTCATTTGGGAATGATGGAGTATTTGGGATCGAGGGAGATTCCTTGAGGAAGTTGAGAGGGAGATGTAGACAGTGGTTGGGGGCACTAAGAGGGGGGTTGAGATAGGGGAGATTAGGAGGGAGGCAGTTGCAGGGAGCATTGAGAGGGAGGCTGTGACAGGGGAAAAGGCTGAGAGATTGGGAGGGAGGCAATTGCAATGAGCATTGAGAGGGTGACTGGGGCAAGAAACGCTGTGATATAGATTGTGGTATGTACGTACTAAAATATATAGAATTCTTGAGCATCAACAATCCAATAGAACAAGTTAATGGCTTCCATAGAATAGATGGAGGGAAAAGATGGCTGCCAATAATTTTGCCCTTGATTATGAACCGTAGGACCTTTTGATGTATTTGTATGTTTACGAGTTATGAGTGTAAATATATAATTTTATAGCGTATGTTGAATGTGGGTCTTTTTATGTTATGAATGGTAGTTTATTTTTTTAGATTGATTATTACAAGAGAGACGATGTCGAATTTTTTCAAAAATGTTGGTTGTTTACTGTAATTGTTTAAAGAAAATAACTCTATCGTTTTCTTAAATGACTAGAGTCGTTTAAAAGACTCCAGTCTTTTTCTAGAGGAACAATTTTAAGTCATTTAAAAAGACTATAGAAAATGACTACTATAGTCTTTTTACACGACTACAATCATTTCGTAAAAACGACTACGATTTTTTTAAATGATTTACCATGAATTGTCTTCTTTGAAAAGTCGAAACAACTGTAGTTTTCTTAAACAACTACAGTCGTTTCATAAAAACAACTATAATCTTTTTAAACGACTTTAAAGTTTTCCTAAAGAACTGGAGTTGTTTATAATTTATTTTCTTTAGAAATGTATGGGTAGACGGATTTTATTAGATACAATTCATTGCACTCCTTACACATTGTTCAAGTATAGATTTTATTGGATTTTCAAGTATATGATCTGTAATTGATTTGGATTAGTTAAAATGAGTTCCAATATATATACGAACTTCATTATGTACAATTCATTGTACTTCTTACACATTGTTCAAGTATATATTGTATTCGATTTTCAAATATGCAATTCACAATTGATTTGGATTAGTTAAAACAAATAAGAAAACGAACTTCATTACCCCCAATTCATCATGCACTACTAACAATATTAAAGTATATCGTATTTAGATTCTAAATGTGCGACTTATAATAATGTATAATGTAAGATGAGGTGAGAATCAAACTTCTAACATTATAGATTGCGTTAGGTTTTGACTTATTAATTTCAAATGAATAAGAAGAACTTCATTATGAATTGTGCTCCACTAACAATGTTCAAGTAGAAATTAATTTTACATTGTTATCTAAACGATATCATATCAACTAAACAAACAATATGCTAATTTTCCAATCTTCTATTAGCTAAAGGTATCTGACTTGCGCATGTTAGTCCATTGTGCCCAGTTGCGGCACACTTATTATATTTGTGTCTTTTGGGAAACTTTCCAGTAGACGAAATCCTTATTGTTTTAGTACGTCCACCTTGTCGTCATGCTAACAGCAGCAACACATTGGGGGAGCCAAAATTTTTAATAATTTTCCGATCAACTTCATTCGATACAGGAAAAATAGTATTATTGTAAACTACTCTCACTCTTCAACAGTATAATACCGAGAGCGGAACAAGTAAATTGATAGCCACTCTTCTTCGTCACAGCTACTGCATGCTCGCACGGTAAATGTTCTAATTGAAACAATCTGCACAATTTTTTTTCTTCCAAATTAAATGTAAAATTCGTGGTGTTGTTTCTAAAGTAATCATAAAGTGTCTGCAATTATTTCTATGGTCATTTTAAATGACTAAACGGCTCCAGTGTTTTAAAACAACCAGTCTTTTAAAAACAATTATAATTTGAAAATTTGGCATCATTAAGGGCATCTGAGATATTTCAGTACAAAGATAATTTGAACATTTTAACCTAAAAAAGGGCCTCAAAAACTTTTTTGTAATAAGTTAGATCTAAAAAAGTTTTGAATGACTTGTTTAGGCCTTTGATAAAAGTACCCCATATTTTTTTCAGGCGAATTTGAAATTGTGTCAATGGTTAACCTGGTCCTTTGAAGGTAGTTTGACTTTGAAAGTTAACTCGTTTGATTATACCACATTTAGACTTCAGTTGCTCAATTGAACTTACATGGATCAATTTGCTCGTTTGAACTTAATGATCTTTGACACCATATTGAGATTTGTAATCCATTATAAAAGATGAAACTTGTTAAAATGAATAACTCAAATCCTATGTTGATTAGTAATAGCGGATGTATAATTATACTTTTAACATATAATACCCAAATATTTACATATTTATGTAATAAATGAAGAGATTTTAAAATTCAGTTCAGTTATAAAATTTAGGAGTTGATTTCCAGTGACGAGTAGTGGGGGCAAGTAATAAGAAGAACACAAACGTAATTTGCGGAGTCATCGTCAGTCTGAGGAACTTGGGGATTGGAAGACAGTTCCAATTGGAGCTGCTACAACTCGATGAAGGATATGAAATCTTGGAGGGGAAGAGAGGCATAGTGAGAGCCGTACAACGGGTTGGGGTTGAGTTGGAGGATGGTTTTGTCGGCTGCGGAGGAAACAGCGGCGAGGATAGATTCCTGCAGGCTTGTGCCTATGACGATAAGGTCAAAATTGAAGGGCTCAATATGTCGGTATGCCGTTGTTTCTTCTATCGGGGAGAGAGTCCCTAGTCGAATGGCAATATTTTTTTCTAGGTGAATTTGGAATTGTGTTGATGGTTAACCTGGTCTTTTGAAGGTAGTTTGACTTTGAAAGTCTTACTTTTTTTAAAAAAAAATTGACTAATACATGTTATAGTTCTATATGAACACCCTTTTGACCGATGTGAATTACATTCAACATATTTCAAAAGATGATGACTTATTTGAGAATACATATTAAAACTTGACTGCTAATTTGAACTTTTTTTACACAACAATTCTCTTGTTTAAACTTAACGAGCAACAACTCCATATTAGGTCTAGGTCTTGGAATTCTTTGTTAAAATGCCAAGTTTATTAAAAGTAGCTCAATTCATTATATACAGGTCAATGTTTTCATAATTGCTTAATGTGGGCTTTACGCGTAAAATGTTCTGCAATATATGATAACTTGTTCAAACATACCAAATTTAGACTTCAATCGCTCAATTGAGCTTACATTGATTAATTTGCTCGTTTGAACTTAATGATCTTTCACACAATATTGAGAATTGTGATCTATTTTAAAAGACGAAACTTGTTAAGATGCATAACTCAAATCTTATGTTAATTAGTAACTATATATTTAACCAATGTATAATTATACTTTCAACATGTAACACCCAAATATTTATGTATTTATGTAATAAATAAAGAGACTTTTAACTTTAAAATTTAGTTCATTTCTAAGCACATCATGTTTACTGTCTACTCTAAAAAAACTGAAGAGAGCGATACTCACATAATTATTATAGCCACCCACTTTAAGTCCAGAACTTAAGAAAAGGTGTAATTTGTGCATAAAGAATTAAAGCTGATTTTCAGCGAAAAAAACTGAAGATGAGAGTTNTTTTTCCCCCCCCCCCCCTTTTTTTTTTTTTTTTTTTTTAAGAAATCTAAAACGTTCCTCCTGTTAATATTTGTAAGAGTCACTTCCTAGAAAGAACGAAGATCAGCCCACAACTGTTGTTTATTTAATTGTACCTTCTAAGAGTTTTAAATAATAACATGTTCATGATCATTAATAGGAACCAGGTTAACCAAACACACGACGATATGAATAAAGAGGACAGGTAAATGCAGAACAGTGGATAAATTGAATATGTCAAATACACTTTCCTAAACCAAGAAACAGGACTTCAGCATAATATTTAACGCCACAGTAGTACCTCAAAAGAAGTTCCAGAAGAAAAATTAAGTTCACAATCCCACCCTTTGAACGGTTGCACCAAAGCAAATACCATAGATGCAAAATTCAGTGAGAGTTAAAGACTTGTACCATGATGGGAAGAGAGGGCAGGAATTTTAGATGGAAACTCCTTCCATCAAAGTAACGCCTCATTAATGGCGTGATCTTGATGCTGCCGTTCTTGCTTCACCTGGTGTGGAAGGAAAGAGTTCCACATACCGAGATCCAATCAACATCTTGTCCTTGCACATGGCTTTCTTAGCTTCTTCAGCTGAGGCAAACTCTACATATGCATCTCCAGTAGCTTTCCCATCAGACCGGCATGCAATGCAGATCTTGTCATCCTTCACATTAAAGTCTCCAAAAAATTTCACGATGTCTGATTTTTTAACCGAGTAAGGGAGGCCACGCAACTTCAAGACCTCCGTATACTCCATGTTATCTTTGTCCGGAGACCTCTTCCGTCGAGCCGGTGGTGAGGTTCCACGGTGGTCAATGCTGCCATAACATCCTTCATTCACCTCAGCAGCTATAGCATGATAATACTCCTGCTTCTTGCACCTAAAAACTTCTACATATCTCCTTCCCATGTTTTGTCGATCTCTCTGAAGAGCAAGATCCGCCTGCATAGGTCCTGCAAAGACCACAAAAGCTTCTCCAGAGAATCGCCCATCCTTGTTTACCAAAAAAACGTCAACAATGTCTAGGCCAGCAAAGAACTTGAAGATGTCAGTATCTGAGCAATTGAAAGGGAGACCCCTTAAACGAACCACGGGAAAGGCAGAAGGCTGATATCTACTGCCACGGCCATAAGGTTGGTAGCCACCTGAACCACTGCTCACTGCGAAGTAGGGACTTGATTCCATCATTCTTGGTCTCTTTGAGCCGATCTCGTACCCGTCCGAAACCCCCCCGCTCCCAAACATTGCCCTTCAATGATCCATACCCAAACAAAAGAAAATCCCCCACTCAACTTTGTTAATAAAGCCAATCCCAACCCATTTTTCCTAAAATCTAGTATTTAATCCTATCTTATGCATTTATCAAATTTTATGAACCCAACTACAAATAATAGCACATCAATGACAGTAAATTATAGGAAGTAAAACAAAAGGCAAGGTGCAGATAAATCAAGAAACAACACATATTTAGATCGAATAAATGAAATGGTCCCTTAGCTGAATGAATTTCTTAAAAGATCCTCAAATTAGTTTTAAAATGTCGTGCATACGGAAAACAACTATTTGAACAGCATCACATGCTTAAAATGTCAACTAATCAGAACCATGATGGTATCACACATCACCATTTTCGATAATGATTGAAGAAAATGCTATACAAAATTATCTCCAGTCATCTAGAGACATCATCCATATTCTAGATTAGTGAGAGAGCCCTTGGAATACAATTTAAATATGAATAGTTCATAGTTAAATAAAGTAAAATGGTAATAAGCAGCTCTCAGAAGATTGTTTTGAACATGGAGCCAGTTCATAGGCTTTTTATTTTCGCACTTTATATGGTACAAAAAAGATATCATTTTAGCGTACTAGAACTCAAATAAAAGTGAATAATCATTTTTGTTAGGGGAAAAATTAAATAAAAAAACTCTCAGATTCAACCATTCTACAATTGAATTATTCTACTATTGATTGCAGATCGATTACCGTACGGTTACATGGTATCCTAATCAGATTAATGACGTTGATTATAACCTACTCAAACTTAAAACTACTGGTTTCATCCTTCTCAGATTTTAACACACAGAGCTAATGTCATCATCCCTTTCCATGCTTCCCTCAGATCCACTTCTTCCAGTTCTATCTTCTTTTCAATTTTGATAAACGTACAACCTATGCATCTTTCACCCCACTTCTGCTTGCTCTGTAGGCCGTTCAGCTGACTAGAAGACTATCAGATGCGTGCTTAAATTTCCTGCTGTTTTAAGGTTTCCAGATCTCTTTTCTGAAGGTCATAATGGGGAACATCCAACTCTTGAGCTACATTGCCATAATATTTCATATCTCTTCTCAGCTTTGTCCTAGAAAATATTTATAAGAAGTATAGGCCTTTCACATCTTTTTAATAGGGTAGGGAATTTTCAGGTATGCAGTAATGTCATGCCATCACCTCATTTGGGCCAGCTAAAAGATGTGCAATATCCAATCATGCATTTTAACCTCTATCTGAAGGCCGCGGCAATCATAGACAAAAGTTGTTTCATCTGATTCATCAAAATATCCCTAACTAGAGTCAAGTTATGTTCTAAGGGAGGCAAATATATGCTCCATGATCTACAGTCTCGCCTTTGCATTTTATTTGCAAACAACGCTAAGAGAGAATTGATGATGAAGACATCCGGACCCCCTTTCTCACTTTTTCTATGATAAGTTCTCCCCCATTTCCTCTACCTATCTCGCTTCTTTCTTTTGTTTCTCTTTTAATTATTTTTTATAGTTAAATTTGAGTAAGATATCATCCAATCTATTTAGGTACTAGCATGATATCAACTCCCTCTTAGATAAGAGTATAGTTTCTCGTAAATTGTAACTGATAGGATGACTCAAACTTACCGATTTCTGGTCTCGCACAATGAGGTTTACATTTTAAAACATATGGGAATACGTCAATCGCTTGTTAGAGGGTAAAGTTCTGGACTTTCTTTGCAAGCCACCCTTTTGTTTTGTAAAATGTCTTTAAGCTGCTGGATAATCAGAAATTGCTAAGATTCATAATTGCTAAACATGCTTTGATCTCAAAAACTTCTGGATTTTAAGCCCAACAAATTTTAGCTTTCAACTTAACTGCGTTTGTAAGAGAAAAACTAAATCTTTTGAAAAGAAACTAGTAACAAAATAACAACTTCAAGTAGAATTCCATCCAACTTGACTCGTTCAATTACAAAATAAGAAAAACAAAACAAATTGTCAATTTTATGCTCTCCTTTAGTACACAAAAAATACATAATACAATTTAATCTTTAAAAAAAAAAAAAAATATATATATATATATATATATATATGTTTTTTGAGGTCTGTAACGTATTAACATATACAAGAAAATATTGAATTCAGAAAATAAATGCATATTAAAGCTTAAAATATCAATTCCGATTCAAGTCCGCTTAGACATCCTTCCCTCTAATATTAGCAACTAAAAGTGATGCGGAAACATGCACAAAATAAATCACTAATCAAACACGAAGGGTATATGAACAATTGAATAAATCAAACAAGAGGAACTCCAACGTCGCGATGAAATTCGACAATCAAGAACATTAAAAAGTCAAGCATATTTCAGAGGGAAAAAAATGTATCCACAAGGACAAGGCTTATTGAACTTACCCTCTGTGCCCGAACATGGCGATTAGACCCCTTGAAACGGAAAATTGAAATTGAAACCCCCGATCGGAAAGAGCCTTTGCCAAGGAAAAAGGTCAACAACCCTAAACTGAAATTGTACAAAACGGTGACGGAAATTTTTAACATCGGAGGTGGGGCGACTGACTATATTCTATTTGTAATGGGATAATTTCATCTGGGTCCCTAACCTTTCACAGAAGTGCATCACAGTCCCTGACTTTTTAAACCGTCACTATCAATCGTTTGCAAAAATATGCAGACCAAGGAACTTCAAATGGATTCTATAGAAAAATATGTCAATTAATTTACTAAAATTAGATCATTTCTAAGAAACTCTCTAAATATAAGAGATTTTATATTTTAGAGAGACAATTTTGATGTAGAGATTGTTAGATAAATTAGTACACAAATTATATTTCGATAATCAAAATTATGTGCATGCAAATACAAGAGTAACAACTTACCAAATTATAGCATGTGCATAATAATGAGCAAATAACTACTTACTCAAATATAAAAATTGAAGGAGATAAAATGAAGTGGGGTACGCAAATGCAAATCTCCTTAAAATGGATTTTCGTCCCCTTGCATTGATACTAATAAAATCAAATGAACGACCGTCTCCCATGATACAACGCTTCTTCTAAAATTAATATAGCCCAATATTAATTTTATCGGACAAACCAATGTTTGACTGTACTCTTCTAGAATGGAATATACCGAATAATAAACTAAAAATAATATGAAAATTATTTTGACATAATTTGGAGAATGAAAGAATTATAAATCAATTATTAGGAATTGATTCGGAGTGAATAAAATGAAAGTAGTAGGGTATAGATTTTAATCGTTAGATCGCATCATTTTATATATTAAGGTGTAGATTGCATATTATCAAAAGGTCACGCCCATTCCATAACTCTTTGATATGCACCCTTTGTAAGTGAAAAGTCGCAACTAGTCATCACACCAATTGGAAATTTTTCCAATTCACATTTATAAAAATCCCAAAAATTCCAATGAGTTTGATTATTCAAATTATTCACATTTTCACCAACCTTCGCACACTGTTATACGTCTATGTGTATGTTATGTATAGCGATTAACGGTAGTTTTACTATGAATAACATTATTCAATTTTATAATAAACAAATTAATAACTATAAATATATAAGAAAAAATACAAGAAAAGGAAAACATAAAAATTTCATCTTATATATATAGACTATAGCCTCCATCTTCTTAAATAATAGTTGGAAGTTGATTGTAATGTGCGGACACCAAATTCTCAGTCGAATCGTAACTAGGTTAGCAAACTTCAATTTGCAATTGGGCCAATTAAAATTGTTTGACAATAGTCAAAACACTATTTATGGATGCCACTAGATAAATTTAACAAATTTAAGGGAAGATTGGAGTGGCAGTTCCTAACATTTTCAATTTTTGTAGACTTTACTTCAGCCTTTAAAATAAAATAAAATAAAATAATTAACTCAAAAAATTAAAAAACCAAAACCCTTTCCAAAAGGCCACCTCCCCCACTCTACCCCCTCCCAACACATCCCACACATCCCCAACCTTAAAACCAAACCCAAGACAACAAGGGCTCCATCGTCGTCGCCAATAGCCACCACCATCCACAAGACTCCAACCCTCACTCCAAAACCTTCACTCCTCGAATGGAAAACTTGCGGCTGAAGTTGAAGGAAAAACTTGCGATTGTTGCTGAATGAAAAACTCGTGCTTGAAACTAAAGTCGGTGAGAATGTAAGCGATTTTGAATTTAATTGTAATCATTCTAAGAATCAAGAATCACAAAATAATAATTGATAGTTCAAATTTATACATGCAGAAGACATGGTTGATATGAATAATAGCAACTAGATTTTTCCTTCTTTACTCATCACAAAGTATTAGCCACAATGTGGCAAGCTAAAAACAATAATATAGAGAGGAGAGGGGACCTAACTTTTATATATAAAACTATCAAGCCATCCCATTACGACTTAAAACTCTAATTAGGGTTTACATATATTTTCGCTCCAATACTTAAAATTACCACATCATGTTAAAAATTGCCCCTAAAGTGTAAAAGGTCCAATTAATCACTTAGGGGGTGTATTCAATCGAGACTTTTAATGACTTTTTGGAATTTAAAAAGTTTAGAGGTATTCAATTGAGACTTTTTGAAACTCTCTAAAAGTCACGGTGTATTCAATTGAAACTTTTATAAACTTTTAAAAAATCTCTAAAAGTTACGTCGTATTCAAAACTTTTTAGAAGCCTATGAAAGTCTTGGGGTATTCAAATTTTAATGACTTCTATAAAAGTCTTTGGAGTACTAACTTTTAAGTAGAAAATACTCATATAAAATCTTAAAATTTGTTTCTCATTAATCACGAGATTTTGGGAGACTTTCACAAAAAAAAAATAAAAAAAAAAAAAAAATTTCAATCTTTATTTCCTTTAACCTTTTATGGACATATGATTAAAATTTATTTTTTTTATTGATTATATTTCATTTATCTTTCTTTCTCTCTTATTATTTATCACTATTTTCTATGAAAAAAATTAAATTGGATTCTTATAACTTTTTTTCATTCATTTTTTTGTGAAAAATATATAATTAAATTTTAATATATTGATTTTTATTTATTTTTAAAAGTATATTATACTAATAATATTGAATCATGTATATGTATAAATTTAATTATTATTTTTTAAGTAAGGTCTTAATTTTTTATGTTTTAAAATTTTTTTTTATTATATGAGAAGGAAAAAGGGAATTGTGGAGACTAACACCTTGAGAATTTTATGTCAGATCCACATGAATTCTATTTCAAATGAAAGTTTTCAAAAATCTTTTGAATTCCATAAAAATCTATAAAAATTTTAAAATAAAAATCCATAGAAGTTTATGAAAAACTTCCACTAATTTTATACAAATCTCTAAAAGATCCACGAAATTCACAAAAGTCATCACTTAAAAAAAGTTCATTAAAGTTTTCAAAAGTCCCAATTAATAACCTCCTTTAATTTATTTTGGCCCAATTACAATATCATTATGAGCTATACATCTAACCCGTAAATTTTACAATAAAATGGAAAGCCCACATTGGAATCATTCCAACAAGAGATCTTGTGCCTCCTACTGGATGTGATGGAGAGGTTTGTTGTCATAAGAGCCCAAGGGTGGCAACATCATAACATCTTCATTTGGGAATTGAGTAAATCCAATGGTAGTCACGGGCCCTCTAGTGTTATTGAACCACCATTAGATCTCACTAAATCATCCTATTGCAGTTGTTGATGTTGTTCATAAGTCCTTCTCCTACTCCTTGGCATAAGCCACCGCAGCTATAAAATGGAGGTCGAAGCTGAGCAAACCAAAATCAAATCTGTTACCGTTGTGAAGTAATAAGTCACTAATTGTGGTGCAATAAGTCCTATTTTTCAGACGCATTCGATGGACATTGGAAGCCCAGATTCGAGAACATTGAAAACCCAAAAATTCTCCAACATAATCTCACGAAACAAAGCTTCTCAACTCGATCAATTAGTTCTCATAACTTCTATCAAACATCCTCAATGAAATTAGGCATTTAGAACAATTGGCCAAAGGAAATCTGAACAGGATTGTGAATAATTGGCCAGAGGAAACTCCAAATTGTTGATTTTGATTTACAGTGGGAAGGAGTTCTCAAAGCATGAGAATTAGTTAACAGTGCGTTAAGTTTATGATTTCGGTTATCCTGTGTTTTTGGCTGGCCGATGGTGGTTGATGTTTTTGGGTTAGGTTAGGTTGGGTTGGGTGGGGTTGGGGTGGGGTGGGCTGTTGAAGGAGACAACCTTTTTTTTATATATTTTCTTAATATTTTTGAATTTTTTTTTTGGGTTTTTAGTTCGCTTATTGAATATTGTAATTATCAAGTTACTACTTTTTTATTTGTCAAAATTCATTTTTCTTGATCAAATAATGGTCAACATCCATTTGGACATATGTTACATATTTTTGAAAGATTAGGGATCTTCATTGACATAAATTGAAAGATAAGGTAAAGTCTGCAAAAAAAAAGAAAAAAAGTGAAAGGTTAGAGACCGATGTTGCAATTTTCCCTTAATTTAATGATATGTTAACTTAAAACTAACGAATTTTGATACTGTCATCCCAAGCATTAAATTTTGACTCGTGACTCTATTTCAAACGTTAATTTATGTAAATGTTAAGAGTGAATTTCATGATTTTTCAAATAACCATTCTCAAATTTCATTCAATTATGAGTTTTTAGATATTATATACTGTAGTTGTCAATTGTTTGAATGTGAAGGAATTCCATGCATACATATGTTGGCGTATTTAGGATCAAACAAATATTGCAACTACTAACTTAATATATTCTTCAAAGGTAGACCAAAAGTGCAAGGTTGGTCAAGTATGGGAAAGGGATAATGAAGAACTAAATGACATTCCAATCAATCATTGATGTTAAGGCATTCTAAACTATCTCAATTATCTTATGCCGCG